CTGATTCAGATAAAAATAATCATCTGTCTTACTAATACAAATGCTAAATCAAAAAGTGCAATTGTATCTGTAAAAACTTGAAGCAATGGTTTGATAGAATAGTTGTCTCAAGTCCCTTTGGGAGGGAAACCTTTTTTTTTTTTCTAATTTCAGATTGTTCTGCAAGAATCTAAAAGAAAACCTACACATTCTATTTCTTTCCTCCTGCTTTTTGCCTGGATTGTTTACATTAATTAGTCAGCCAGTATTTGAAAGTTTGTTAAACTATTTTTAAGGGGGAAACCTTCATTAACCTTCACAGCAATCCATCAGTAATACGTTTGTGTGCTGCTTATATTGAAGTAACACTTAAAAAAAAAAAAAAAAAACCTCAGCTGTTGCAAAATAAATTAATTACAAGCTACCTCATTTTTATAAAGTGTTTCTTTAGAAAACTAAAGCTAAGTAAGAATACATTTGCAAAGACAGCTTTGCAAATGTATTAATGCTATTATGATTTGCATTCAAAGGTCTTTCAAATTTACTGATGTATCCAAATTATACTTCTCTATAACTGGCAGTGAACCTTTGAGAATTCTTGAATACACCACAAAAGGAAATTACCAGTTTAAGACATTAGAGAAGAATCCTTATTCTGCATTGCACTGGCGTGAGCTGCAACCTCATACTGTTTGGCTAATATGAGTAATAATTTGCTCATAATGAGTTCAACCCAGTTAAGCCGATATCAGCCTCACTGCTTCCAATGAAAGGAAATTAAATATATGCTAGATGGTATAGTCTACTCCCCAATTAGTCCCTTTGAGTTTAATAAGTTTTACTCTCAGGTGCAACATGTACAGTTAGAGCTTAAATCTCTTGAACTGATATCAGTAGGGTTGGAGCATAAATAGGCTTAATTTTGGCTAGATTGTGCCAAATCATTCAGCTCACAACCTGTAATTCATCAATACACCAAATACATACAGATCTCAATGAAGTTGCAGTTAGCTGTGATAAAAGCCTAACTCTGGTTGAAATGGTAGAATCTATTATTAGGCTAGCCACCATCGTGACTTTTTTGACACCCCCCTGCAGATACCCCTGCCATTTTCAATTGCCAGTGAGGGCTCTCATCACCAAATGTTCCATTGTTCAAAATGCTACCACTAAAAATTAAAACTAGATGTTGGAGAAAGGTGATCCTAAAATGTACTCCTTGCTCTCTAGTTTTCTGCGTATACAACATTTATTCTAATTTACATGGAAACACATCATATAGGCCCCGCCAGCAGCTTGGAATGGAAGAGTTTATGTCCAAATTTCTCCAACTAAGCCAAAATCCTTCTGAGAGCGTTATGGGCCAAGCCAGTCATAAATAGTTAATTGGTTTCAGTGGGACTGTGATCTAACTTTGCTTGAGCTGGTAAACCTATTTCTACTGCATTTTACTTCTGGCCTTCAGAGAATTAAAAGGAACAAGAAAGAAAGAAGAAATAAAAAGGGATGAATAAATAAAAATGCCAGAATGAAGATGTATCATCCTAAGCCTCTGAGCTATTTTCACTGGCTCGATGATAGATAAGTTGCACAAAGGGAACCATATTCTTAATATATGGATGATTTTGGCTACCACAAAAGACTTCCGACATATTGGAATAGGTGCAAAGAATGGTAACCGCAAGAATAATAAAGAAATGGGAACAAGGAGAGATTAAAGGAACTGGAGATGTTTAGCTTTGTGAAAAGATAATCTGCAATTCTAGCAGTCTTGTAATACCTAAAAAGATGTCACACTAAGGAAGTCCATGATCTGTTCCTACCATGAACTTAAATTACAGAAAGGCAGATTTCCATTAAATGTCAGCAAAACTTTTTAACAGTACATTTTGACACTAGAACTAATTTCAGGAAGAGGTAATGGGTTTTCCTTCATTGAATGGGTTCAAGCAGAGACTGGATAAACATTTGTCACGCAAACTTTAATTGGGATTTCTGCACGAGTAAAGGGTTGGACTCAATTATCCAAATGGCTCCTTCTAGTTTTATGATTCTAAGGACTAGAGGCAGATTTCCACTCAGCAGCAATTTCTCAGTCTAATTAGCCAAGAGTGAAAGAAAAACCTAAGAAACAAAGAAAAATAAGGGATAGATATGATGAATTTAATGCTTTGCATTTTGATGCCATAATGGCATTGTAAATATAGTATGTTTAGATTTGTGCTATTATTCTCAGAGAATTCTACCCACCAACGATCTTCTAAAGCAAAGTTTCTCAACCTTATCAACTTTAAGGTATGCGGACTTCAACTCCCAGAATTCCCTAGCCAGCATGCTGGCTGGAGAATTCTGGGAGTTGAACTCCATACACCTTAAAGTTGACAAGGTTGAGAAACACTGTTCTAAAGTCTCCAACTGAATTATCTAAACATACAAAATCTTGCTTTAAAAAAAATCAGTTTCCATCACCACAGGGGAAAACCAGAACATGCAGAATAACATAATTTAAAGATAGAACATTGTTTCTTGTTAGTTTTTATTTTTGAACATTTGCCTGTGAAACAGCTATTGTTCTGCAGTATATCTGGTATTAAGATGCAGCTAGTACTTAACTTGATATTGTACAGAAGAGATTTTAGAAATGTTAGCACACCAACTTATGGCACTACTGACCAACAATAGCTACTTTTAATAGCTATTGATATATTTAATAGCAATTTAATAATTGGATAATTATTTAATCAAGTAAAATTTATTTTCGAGTAACCTCTTAATTAAAAGAAAAGGTTTAAAAAAATTAAGCCACCCAGATTAAGTACAATTAAAGTTAAACACATTTAAATATTGTTATTTATTGCATTTTCATTCTCTCTCTTATTTTTTTTTTCTGGGAGCTCAAGGCACATCATGGCAGATCTCTCCTAATGTTATCCCTACAACACCCCTGCAAAGCAGTCTGGTCTGAGAGAGAATGAGTGATCCAACGTCATCTGTGTGAGCTCTGTGGTTGGGTGAGAACCAAAGTACAGTTATGAATTAGGATAAGACAGTTATAGCAGGGTCCTATGAATGTTTACTTTACATCTTTTAATGGGTCTTACTTCCAAGTACATTAAGTACAGTAAGATTGTGGCCTAAGAAACAAAGTTAAGTCTCTCCAGTTTGAATTAATGGCACTTTAAGGGTTTAAAGCAGGGTTTCTCAACCTTAGCAACTTTAAGATGTATGGACTTCAACACCCAGAATCCCCCCCACCCCCACCCCCCGGGCGGGCGGGGTTGGGGGGGTGTGTGTGAGTGCTCCAACTTATTGTGTTTGGGGATAAA